GTCATCCTACTTGCTGTCGGCTCTGTCCAAGTCCGCTCGGCGTTTTTTTTATTTCCTCAGCATTAAGGTGCGTTTATACTCCAACGTAACGCCGACGGGCGCGCGCGCCCGACCTCGTTGCGTTACGTTGCTGCGAAAGGAGTGTCTATACTCCGACGACAGTCGAACGTAACGCAGCGTAGCGCGCCTCGGCGACCGTTGGCGAAGCTTTCGCTGAGGTAGGCCCTGCTCGAATCTCGGCGTCGCCTGGCGACGGTCGTTACCCAGAAGCCTTCACGCCAGCTCCCGTGCCGCGTTTGCCGTGGTCCCGTCGTTGCCCCAGTGGGGCATCGGTCGGGCTGTGTTGTCTGTTCGTCTGCCTGCCGTTCGGGCTTGTGTCGTGTAGGGTAGCCGCTGGTCAGTTGGATGTGCTTGTGTTGCCGCTCTGTTTATTCCGTTCGCTCGATGGAGTGAGTCGGTGCGTCGACGTGGACCTGTCTCGGGGCCGTGAAAATTTGTAGGCCTGACGGCACTGCGGACCCGCTTGAAGCTCTGCGACGGACATCGGCTTCCCATTTCGGTGTCTTTTCCGTGAGTTTTTGACGCTAAAGGCTAGTTCATGAGGTTTGTGCATATGACATATGTTAGAAGCTGGATGGTCGCTCCGAAACGCCACCTGCTGCTTTTTCGTTGAAGTTGGTCAAAACGACGACCGGCTGATAGTTTTTTTTTCTTTTTCGCTAACCACGTATGATTTTTGTCAGGAAATAAATGCCTTTCTACGCAAATTACCTTCATTATTGCCTTGTTTTCGAGCGTACCACAGCGCGAAGATATCACCTGCCGCGAATCACAACTTTTGACACATTTAACTGCTTACATCATCACCGGCGCAGGGCAGCCGGGCAGCGTTGCAAGTTGCGAACGGAAGCGGAAATTCGCAACCACCGAGACCAAACCATGCGGTCGCCATGGTGACGCGCATGCGCAATGTGAAGCAATTTGTTCGAGCGCGTTGAACGACGCCGGACTATAAACACGGTTGACAATTCTTTTTGCAGCACAGCGTGGCGTGGCGAAGTGGACGTTGAACTTCGTTTCACGTCGTTGGACGTTAGGTTCGTCGACGTCGGAGTATAAACGTACCTTTAGTCTTCAGCGTGCTCCCCCGAGATGGTACTTGAGGAGGGGAGGAGGAGGAAGGGAGGAGGGGAGGGAGGAGGACAAGGAGGAGGAGGAGGGCGCGTTGCATCATGGGACGTTTCCCATAATGCAACGCGCGGCACCCTCGTGACGTCACTCGCGATGTCGCGTGTGACGTCATTATGAGAAATGTCCCATAATGCACCGTCCGGTTACACCGACGGCGACGACGCTCAAGTCGGAAACGGGCGCCCAAAAGCTGCGCTCTAAAAAAAAATTGGTATTCTAACGCTTTTGATATTTACGCCCAGAATATTAACTGCCATTTTCGGAAAACATCATAAAAGTATCATCGTCAAGAACAACGCAATAAGGAAGAAATTGCAGTTGTCCCCGTTTCTAACATAGAGTCCCATGAAATAACTGGTGTCAAGCCATGGCTGCCGGTTGTGCCGCTTGACCTTAGCAAGACAAGCCTCAATCCGAGATCCAGCCTACTACAATAGACATCAGGGTTTGCAGCACGACAACCTCCCTGTCACACGGCAATCTCATTTAGTATGTTTGTGACGGATTTTATTCTACATGACATCTTTCTATTTCACAGGCTTGAATAAAGGTTTAGTTTGGAACACCACTTGAAAGGACACCATTTTTGTACTTTAAATAACATATAAAAGAGCGTAACCAACAAACTGAAATGCATTCCAGCAGAAGCCTCCCAGCACAGCTATGAACAAAGGAAACACCTCCGTTAGGGTGTGGCTGTCCAAGGAAACTACTTGGATGGAGATACTTAATGTACATCCATGGTTAAAAAAGATGCCTCATTACCTTTCTGCCACACCTCGTAGACAGGGTAGTTTCCAGCCCAAGAATATAAGAATCCTTGAGCTATTCGCTACTCCAGCGACCTATTGGGGGCGCCACTATCGGGCAAATATGGCGGTCTAAAACAGGGCGTGCCGTGCCATGAGCCAGCTCAGCGCACAACGTTGGGGCATCAGCAAGCAAGCATTGGACTCAAAATGGTCTGCCTCGCGTTTTATCCTCTCTATTTCGAACTCGCGGCGACGTGTTGGCGAAAGCGAGCTTCCAGAGGCTGGACTTTCTTGGAGAAAGCGATGAAAGGACTGCCTTGACTTAAACAGCGCAATCGCCCAGCGACTCATTTTGGAAAGGACTGCCCACTGTCCTTCCTGCGTGCTTAAGAACGTTGCTAAACGTGGAATGTCTGGTTCACGCGATCGCGTAGGTTGCGTTCAGAGCGACCTGGGTAACAAGCTGGTACTACTGTTACGACACAGTCACCGGGACAACTGTTTTATCGCTCAAACCACCGAGAACATGTCGTCACGAAAGCCACAAGAGACGAGCAGATATTGTGAAAGCACCTGTTCCGAAAAGTTCGGTGTTTTCCCGCTAGGTGCCGTCCGTTTTGTTGGAGTCACGAATATTCACTTTTGCGAAGTACACGACGTGTCCCTCACGGGTTGATGTGTTCGTTTTCAGAGGCACGTGCGACTGCAAACCTGCCTTCATAGGATAGTTTTACATGGGCTCCGTTTACATGGATGCGACCGCAAAACTTCAAATCGAAGTATATTCTCACTTTGTATTGAGCAAACGCGTTTCGGTGCGAATAAAACTGTCGCTGTATTTGCAGCGCACATTTGCTGAATGGACGAACTTTATAGCTTTTTGGCTCTATTGCGCGCGCCGATCAATCATAGACGGCCCATTTAAAACTCACTATCTTTCCCGAGTGACCAGAACGCACATATCAGACGTCCGGTCGGAGGCCACGTCACAGCAGCGTCCTTGACACCATGGGCGGAGCTTCACGGCACGCCGCTAATTCCCGTTTGTTGACACCCAGCCGCAGCGCTTCCTCGGTTCATTGTCAGGGCCGCCGTGATTATGGCATCGGGACGGGTTTCGTAAGCCGCGTGTGCCTTACGCTCTTGCCAATTACACGACGTGTACGGCGCGCACGCTTACGTCCCGTGGGGGAATCCCCGCGCGGCGGCGCGGTTCCAGGAAGCTTCCTTCTCTGCTCGCGTAGGGAGCGGATCGGCGCCGAACAACGCTTCCAGCCGTCGCTTCCTCGTCGCGTTCCTAGATCGGTGCTTGAGGACCCCCTCCTTGTTTGCATCTACGCGAGTCTCCGTAGGAGCCTGCATACCGCCGAGGAACGCCGCGCAAGCGTTCATATAAAGCGTGTGCGATGCATCTCCTGGGGCCCGCGCGACCATGACCACCTCGCGCGGCACGATGTCGCGCCTATTTTCAGAGATAGCTTCCGTGAGAGATTACCTAATCACGGGGAACCGGAAGGAGAGAGGGTGGGAGAAGAGGGAGGCCGACGCCCGCGTAACTTTCGACCTCAGGAGCACCGTCTCGTTGCCGTTCACGGACGCACGAGGGTCCTTGAGTCAGGGGAAGCCTTGAGCGCATCCTGTTCTCGTATGGTTGGAATTACAGCCTAATGTTAGGAATAGCTATCAATCGAGCAGGTACTTGTTTGCGTGGAGTCCTGAACGGAAGACGCGTCGCTTAGTTGACGTCTGGACCCCCCAGCGGGAATCGTTTCGTGCTCTCCGCGTCCGAACGGTGACAGCGCGGCGATGCGCCGCTAGGAGTTGGGATGCCTCGTGGAATCTTTGCCCTGAAGGGCTCCTGCGACGCACTGTGGACGTGTTCGAATTTCGCGCTGGAACTGACCTCACGGAAGGCACTAACCTATCGAAAAAGTGTTTTCAAGAAATTCGCCTAATTTTAGAGTCTTTAATTTAGAGAGAGGGCCGACCAGCATCTAGGAACAAAAATGCTATCTACATGACGTGTTACAGAGGCCAATCGCAGGGGCGAAACGACTTGACAATCGACTGCGGATTAGGTTCATGGCCGCCTCTACAAAACCGTTTTCCCTTTGTCGGCTCGCTGAGTCGATTACGCCTGTTTGCCTCAGACCTCTTCTGCAGTTGCTCATGGGTGTTTTAGCCCCGTATTCCCTAAAGGAGTGCAAAACTGGGCGTCGTTGTTGCATTGGAATGCGTAAGCCTACGCGAGGCTCAGCGAGAAGCAAACAGATTCCCATGTTCGAGCTCAGTCCAGAGTTCATTCTCTCCCGTCGTATCATAACCATGTTGAATAACCTGAGACTGGGGCAGAAGTGAACAAATAAGTCGAAGGGACAGAAAAGGACAGGACGATGTCTTAAACACAGCTACCAGGTTTATTTAGCCCGCCTCCTTATATAGCCCAAAATCAGCCATCACCAACACAAAAGGGCAACATCTAACCAGTTCAAACGCCAAACCCTCCAATCAGCCACAACCTACACAAAGGGAAAACCTCTAAACAGTCCAAACGCCAAAGCCTCCAATACACAAAGTTGTAGTATGGACGGCCTTCATGCCGATTCACGAATGTAACGACTGCACTGCGATTTTGTGAGAGACAGAAATCATTCACAAGGAGATGGAATGATGCAAAAAGACTAGTAAGGGAGACGGTGCGGATAAAGTCTCTAGGTAATTGCATAATAAGTCAGGCTTCCTTACAGTTCGGTAAAAATTCTAAATTTTCTTTTTTTTAATATACTTTTTTATGTCTGTACTGTACACCTTTGCCCCGTTTTAGATTCAGTGTGTGTCATCCCTTCATCGCTGGTATAAAGTGTTTTTGTTTGTTTTTTGTGTGTGTGTAAAGAAAACTTTTCTTCTTTTTTTTTTGGAAGGAAGTAGGTACTGATTCTTTTTTTTTTAATTTTGGGGGAGATTGTAGAGTTATCTTTGTGAATCGGCATAAAGACCGCCCATAGTACAACTTTGTGTATTGGAGGCTTTGGCGTTTGCACTGTTACCCGCCCGGTACCGACATGTCACAAGCAAGTCGCTTACGTCAAATTTTCATCCAGGTGCTCGTCATTGCCTGGACGATCCACACAAAGCCCTATCAACGAGCCGATAATCTGCCACTACCCATCGGAGCCTCGGCGTCACTTCAGCTGCCGTACGCCCGCCTGATCCTTCCGCCGCTGGATACGTCCAGATTCGACGGCACAGCCTGGCAACCACAGCTTGCGCCAGATAACCACAAGCTACAAAAGCCGCTGCCCGGCACTTCCAGCGAGGGGCCCGGTACCGACATGTCACAAGCAAGTCGCTTACGTCAAATTTTCATCCAGGTGCTCGTCATTGCCTGGACGATCCACACAAAGCCCTATCAACGAGCCGATAATCTGCCACTACCCATCGGAGCCTCGGCGTCACTTCAGCTGCCGTACGCCCGCCTGATCCTTCCGCCGCTGGATACGTCCAGATTCGACGGCACAGCCTGGCAACCACAGCTTGCGCCAGATAACCACAAGCTACAAAAGCCGCTGCCCGGCACTTCCAGCGAGGGGCCCGGTACCGACATGTCACAAGCAAGTCGCTTACGTCAAATTTTCATCCAGGTTGGTCTTTTTTACAAACCTGTTGACCATCACAGTGTTAGACGTTACTTGTCGGTGCCGAGCCCCTTTGCTTTTGTCTTTGTGCTTTGTCATTTAGAAGCGTACAGTGTCTACGTGACTTGTGTATTGTGCTACGCAGCATCTATAGTAATAAGGATAATGCTGCTACTTTCTGGCAATGTAGAAATGAACCCTGGCCCGTTCACTCAAGAGCAAACTAAGAGAATACTAGAAGTCTTGGAGCTACTACCGGGTATACACAAAAACCAAGACGTAATTTTGGCTGAAATGGCGGCAATCAAGCAAACACAGACATCGGTCGAAGAAAAACTCACATCTGTGTTTTCAACACTGGAATCGCTCAAAAAAGACGTTACTTCACTGAAATCCCTTGAGACTAAAGTGCAGCAAATACAAGTTGCATCCACGGAACTTGCCGAGCAGTTTAACCAGCTGGCAAACAGTCATGATGACCTAGAAAATCGCTATCGAAGAAATAATCTAATCTTTTATGGTGTTGACGAGGATACAAATGAAACATGGGCAACGTCCGAAACAAAAGTTCTGCAGCTCTGCGAAACTGTGCTAGGCATCAAAATTGACCACTCACATGTGGAACGCGCTCACCGACTGGGTAGACACAATGCAGAGAGGTCCAGGCCAATCATAGTAAATCTTTCCTCGTTCAAAACAAAACAAACTATACTATCGCAAACGCCCAAGCTGAAAAACAGCGGAATATCTATCGGCGAGGACTTTTCTGCTAACGTGCGTCATGAAAGAAGCAAGCTTCTGGGATTTGCCAGGACACAAAATAGTCAATTTAAACTACGCTACAACAAACTAATTATTGGAAACAAAGTATTTTACTATGACAACAGTGAACAGAGAGTAAAAGAGAAAACAATCTAGCAACCAGTACAAATTCCACAGGCTGCCCTCAAAAAGACCATAACTGTGAATGAACTTGATGTACTTCTCGTGAATTGTCGTAGTGTAAAAAATAAAATTGATGACTTAGCAGAGCTTGTTAATCTGACAAGGCCCAGTATCGTAATGGGTACAGAGTCCTGGCTTGATGACTCAATCAAAAGTGCAGAAGTTTTTCCACCTGACTATACTGCTTATCGACGAGACAGGAATGGGCATGGTGGAGGAGTATTCCTGCTGACTCATAACAGTCTGCAAAGCACCGCCATTGACTTTTCGCAATTTTCATTTGAGTCCGTTTGGTGTAAGGTGTCGCTTCAAAATGGCCACTTCCTCACAATCGGTTCCTTCTACAGACCGCCTGCGTCTGGCGACGATTCCATTCTTTCTTTAACAAATGCTCTTTCAACAATTTCTTACGACTACCTTGTACTGGGAGGCGACTTTAACTATCCTGATGTTAACTGGGTTGATGGCTTACCAATCAGTACAAACTTATCCACACCTTACAAGACATTTATTGAATTTGTTTTAAGCTTTTCTTTATACCAACACGTTAAATTTCCTACACGCTTAGACCACAGGAGGGACAGCACGCTAGACCTAATCTTTAGCAATGAGCGTTCTGTTATCTCTTCTATTTCCGTTGTTCCCGGTATCAGTGATCACGAGGCGGTAGCTGAGAAAATAAAATGCGCGAAAGAAAAAACCGTACAAAAAACGCAAAGGAAAATTTATTTTTACGATCAAGGGAACTATTCCGCTTTAGCTGACAAACTTTTTGATTATTTCCAAGAATTCAAAGAATTCAGCTACCACTCTGATGTGGAAACGCTATGGGGTATGTTCAAAAATAAATTAAAAGCTTTAATTGAAATCCATATTCCTTCAAAAGTTATAACCGGAAGGAAACGCAAAGACAAGCCTTGGATAAATAAAGAACTACGAACGATCATTAAGAAAAAAAGACGTGTGTATTCTAGATATAGACAAAATGGAAAACAGAGCCTCCTGGTCCGTCTAAAGGAACTAACAGCGTTTTATAAAAGCAAAGCGGCACACTACAAGAAACAGTTTCTAGCATCTCTTGATGAAAAGTTCAAACGAAATCCAAAGGAACTTTGGAGGTACGTAAAAAGTTCGAACAAAGATGAGCCAGGAATTCCAACTATCAACGACTCGGGACGGATGATAGATAATGAGGCTGAAAAAGCAAGCCTTTTTAATAGCTATTTTGAATCTGTATTCTCGTCTCCTATAATGAATAACCCTTCTCTCATTTTTGAGTCTTTAGAGGACAGCATGTTGGATATTGAACTTTGTCAAGATGGAATTCTTAATTTACTAAACAACATTGACTCTCACAAGGCCACTGGGCCTGACGGTGTACCAGGCCGCATATTAAAAGAGTGTTCCGGTATTTTGTCTAGTTTTTTATTTGTATTATTTGATAACTCATTATCAAGTGGTAAATTACCAAGTGAATGGAAAACAGCTCACGTTGTTCCTGCCCACAAAAGCGGTAAAAAGAATAGGGTAGAAAACTATAGACCAATCTCACTTCTTTGCGTGTGCTCGAAAGTTTTAGAACATATAATCTACAGCCACCTGATAAAACATCTCGACAGAAACAACTTTTTTATTCCTTATCAACATGGCTTCCGAAGTGGTTTATCGTGCGATACCCAGCTGATCGACTTTTATCACGACATTTCTTCTTTTTTTGATAAAGGCGTGCAAGTGACTGCGTTTTCTTAGATTTTCAAAAAGCCTTTGACAAGGTCCCCCATAAATTGATTCTATACAAATTAAAATTTTTGAATATCCCTGAAAATATTATTAACTGGCTTACTGATTATCTTACAAATAGAAGACAGGCTGTTTTAGTTAACGGGAAAATGTCGCCGTATTTAGAGGTAACATCAGGGGTCCCCCAGGGATCAGTGCTAGGTCCGCTTTTATTTCTAATATATATAAATGACATTTCTACAGACATTACGTCAAGCATTCGTCTGTATGCGGACGATTGCGTCTTATACCGCAAAATAAAGACATATCCAGACTGTTTAGAGCTACAGGAAGATATTGATCGCCTTACAAGATGGTGCGAAATATGGAAAATGAATTTAAATATTCCCAAATGCAATCACATAACATTTACCAGAAAACGACAACCTGTTTCTTTTAGCTATCTAATTGATGGCGCCCCACTACAAAAGGTGGACAAAGTAAAATATTTAGGCGTTCAGTTTTCGGAAAACCTATCGTGGAGCGCGCATGTAGACTACATGACGGTCAAAGCTAACCGTGTGCTAAATTTCTTGAGGAGGAATTTTCACGATTGTCCTCCCAATTTAAAAAATACCCTTTTTCTTTCTAATGTCAGGCCTATTTTAGAATACGCTTGCGTGCTTTGGGACCCTAAAGAACGCTATCTAGAACAGAAAATAGAACAAATCCAGAGCAAAGCTGCTAGGTTCGTTACAAAAAATTACAATTTCAAACAAAGTGTTACTGCCCTAAAATGTCAATTAGACTGGGAACCTCTGAACTCTAGAAGACGCCGCCTCCGTTTAAAATTTTCACATAGAATCTATCATGATCAAACAGGACTGGATAAAACTAAATTCATTGAACTGCCACACTTCGTGTCACGTAGATTAGATCATTCCAAAAAAATTAGAGAATTTTCAGCTAGGACTAATATATTCAAATTCTCATTTTTCCCCAATACCGTTAAACAATGGAACGAATTGCCAGAGGAAACTATTTCAATTCCATCGTCTGATAATTTTTTTGATAAACTGTCCCGTGATAGCTGGGAGTAAGGAAAGTGAATTTTCTCTTTGAGAATGTGCATTCAGAACGCTCGGTCTGTAACACTGTGCTATCTGTCTTCATATCTTTATTCGTACGGAAAATTACACTGTTGGCTAAAGTTTTATACCATTGTGGATCCATTTGTTCAGGTGTTATAATTTTGCAACACAATTGTTGTTGCTTTTAGTCATTTTTTTTTGCGAGTGTGTTTCTGCATGTCAGAACTGTAATTCTTGTGCAAATGTATCCTCACCCCCCCCCCCCTGCAATAATGCCTCTTGGCGCTGCGGGGTAACATGTAATAAATAAATAATAAATAAAAAATAAATAAAAGTTTAGAGGTTGTCCCTTTGTGTAGGTTGTGGCTTATTGGAGAGTTGGACGTTTGAACTGGTTAGGGGTTGCCCCTTTTGTGTTTGTGGTGGTTGAGTGTGGGCTATATAAGGAGGCGGACTAAATAAACCTGGTAGCTGAGTTTGAGACGTCGTCCTGTCCTTTTCTGTTCCTTCGACGTATTTGTTCACTTCTGCCCCAGTCTGAGGTTATTCAACATGGTTAACATTCACCAGCTCGGCTGCACCCTTACTATATTATCTCTGTCGTATTCTACCCGCAGCGATCGATGAGTCGCTCGTAGGCGGAACAGCCGTGCCGTATGAGGAGGCTACTCGTAAGCATATATACTCGTAAACGTCCAGAGCTTGATAGTCAATAAAAACTGCTTTCATAAAGAATTTAGTTGGTTGACCGATTACTAATTTACATATGGTGTTTAAAATACTTTTTGACGGCTCTGACCTCTCAAAAAATCTTAAAGGCGATGCCGCGAATGCGAAGCGCAAGTTCGTCTGCTTCTTTTGCCAGGATTGTGGTGACGTCAGAACGCCGAGCTCTGATTGGCTCTGACTGAAGGATAGTGGGTAGACCTTTAAGCAAGCTGCCTTAAGGTCTACCCACTATCCTTTAATCAGAGCCAATCAGAGCTCGGTGTTCTGACGTCATCCCAACCCTGGCAAAAGAAGCAGACGAGCTTGCGCTCCGCATTGGCTTCCAACACCATGTGTCGTCCCTGTAAGTTTACGCGCTGTCCCATTAAAATATAATGCACTAATATTTTTCACCGATGGATGGTTGGTTATGGCTATACCCTTTGTAATGGGTGGCAGCTTGCGCCATCTAGCCTAACATTTCTTGATCCCTTCTTTTTTTAAATGTTTGTAAATTTTATCCTAACAAAACCCTCCCGCCCCCTTTTAAAGTGCAACCATCGCGTATCTTTATTTCTATTTTTCCCCCTCCCTATATCTTTTCCACCAATCTTCCAATCTCGTCTTATAGTTACCGCAATTCTTTCCCAATGGATGCATCCATCCATGTCCGCAAATCCCAGTGCCCCCTCCAAATACGTAGTCATCCCCCAAAGAGCTCGGACGAAGCCCCGTGCAGCTTAAAATTTCATGTTCTATGGTTTCCCTTTCGCGTTTGCATACGTCGCATAGAGTTTCTATTTCCAGGAATTTAGCCCTGTATGTTTTCGTTCTCAGCACCTCCGTTCTAGCTTCAAACAGCAATAAGCTCCCTAACGAACTATCATAAAAGTGTTCCTTCTATATTTCTTGTTTTTGCGCCCTGATTATTGTTCAAGCTGGTTTCCTCTGCATTCTCTCTTCCCACACTTTCCTCTCAGTTTCCTTTACTCCCTTTTCTACTGATATATTCTGATCGACCCCATCTCGTTGAATGTATTTAGATCTCAGCTTGCGGGTTCGGTTTGTCCACTCAGTTTTTGGACTTTTCATATATCGATACTTGCACACTTTCCCTGCCCGCCGTGTATCCTCACATTCAGCTAGTCTTTGTTCAAAGTTTACTTTACTGATTGCTCCTCTACTCTCGAAAGATGCCCAACCTATATCACCCTGTGCTCCCTCATTTGGTGTATTCCCATGTGCCCCCAATGCCAACCTACCCACACTCCTTTGCTGTATCTCTAAATCTGCCTGAATTTCTGAACTCATACACAATACCGCATTCCCAAATTACAGTCCTGGCGCCATGACTCCCTTCCATACAACCCTAACGATTTCATATCTATTATAGTTCCAGAGTGCGCAGTGTTTTACAAAAACTGAATCTCGTTTCCCCTTCTTTAACTCTGTCCTTGTCCCCTGGGTTGCCCGGACCTACATAGAGTTAGAAACCACAAGAAAGGGCATAAGCTAGCCCCTTTAATATGGTCTCTTTCGCTTTGTTATTTCGTTTTATTCGACCGCCTCTCACTCTGTGTCTTTACCGTAACAGATATATTATCTCGATAGCGGCTGC